AAGATTAAAGGAGGGATTTCTATCCGGCTCTCTCTTGTGCATTTGCCCAGGCTTGCCCCATCTCAGCCCCTGTGTCCCACTAACCTCTTGGGCCTGGTGCAGTTGTGCCATCTGCAATGGCTTTCCACCGGGCTTTACTAGATAATTTTGTGCTGTGAAATCCAACTTGGCAGTTTCTCTGCATTTTTGTGTCATCTCTGTGTAGTGCCAGAGAGTCACGGTATCTGAATAATAACTGATCACTATCAGGGTCCCTTGGAAAACAGAATAACCCATGGTAAGATAAAAGCAACCTTCCTCTTTATTATTAGATCTATAATAGACACCTATTATCTTTCTGTTCTATTACAGAAGCAGGTCTGGTCCCCAGACAGCTGCAGAGTAGGACAGTGTTATAAGTCTGAAAGGCTTGTATGCCTCCACACCCAGCTCCTGCGCTGGGCACATCTCTGCGAGACCAGATAATCTGGCCTTCTTTGTTATATATATCATACATATCGCATTTTGTGTATGTATGTATATCCAGACACATACACATGCCTATACTGCTGTGTATGTATGTATTTCATATCAAATTAATAAAACACATGGGAAATGCCTATACTGCTGTGTATGTATGTATTTCGTATCAAATTAATAAAACACATGGGAAATACATCCACAGTAACTTTGGTTTCTCTTCAGTGTATAGCTGAAAGTCTTTGATGGTTCTTTTGTATCACATATATTAAAAGTGGGGTATAGGGAAGAGTCTAGTCGGTGCCTGGGAATCAATTGCAAGTCAGATACGTACAGAGGTGTGTATTGTACAGGTCGTAACAGGTAAAGAAAAAGCACACAGTGCTGTTAGAGTGACTGGCCTTGTGGGAGCAGTATCATGTACGTAGTGGCTTTTGTGTTTCCCTGGTCATGCATGTCAAGATCTTTACTGGGTACAGCCTGAGGGCTCGTAACTTATCTTTGAATAAGATTATGTTTCTAAGGCTGTGCCTGCACCATACTAACATGCAACAGAAACCATGCTGCTGTGTGCAAGTGCTTCTTTCAAAGCTGGCATGTGTTCTTTGTACCGTTGTGTAGTCTGCAAAGCAGACATAGCTTAGGAGTTTGTAGAGGTCAACAAATGTTACTGAGAAAGGAGACAGCAAAAAAAGTTTTATAATCAGCCAAAAACCTGCATAGGGAAGAGGAAAGCAGAAGAGAGGAGCCACTACCAGCTCATATCTGAACACAGAATATCAGCTTAAGGGCCTATGGCCATTATTCCAGAACCTTTGGTTTGTTAGATTGGCCACCTGAGGGTTGGATGATAAGCTTCTTTGGACACATATCCGAAGCAGGTAGAGTGTATTTTTTGCATTTTTTCTGTCTTGTTACAGAAGCAGGTCTGGTCCCCAGACAGCTGCAGAGTGGGGCAGTGTTACAATTCTGAAAAGCTTCTTATGAAAAGGTGTTTTTATGCAAAAATACAGGCTGCAAATGTAGTTATTAAAATTTGGAGGGTAATTCTTTAACTTTCACAGTAACTTGTTCTGGCTTCCTCTTGATGTTGTAGTTATTTGCAACTGAGTCGCCAATGCTAATTTATGAACTGCATTTTGGTGAGTATGTATGTAAAAAGCAACTGCAATGTGATGTCATAGTATCAACATGTATAATTGCATAGCTCAAATAATATAAGTGTTTTAAAACTTAAATTTATATTAATTTTTCCATCATAAAAGGCTAAAAATTATCCATAGAATTCATCTTCCACCTGATAAAATTTTGATATCTACAACCTGTTTGATTTTGACTTTTATGTTACAGAAAATAATTCCTAATAGAATGAGAGATGCTCTTTGTGATGTTACAGCTTCATGTAGTTACAGCTTCAGGGGGTGTTTATGGTACAAGAGAGTGTTTATGACTGTATATTTTTCTATATAGTCAAATTTTTAGCTAGTATGAGTTTAGTTTCAGGGAGTCACGGTCAAGTGAAATCTACAGCTATAAGGAAGAGGAGCAATAAACACATTCATCCTATCGTAATAGGGATCATTGCAATGAATGATCAGTGGAAGAATACACAGCAAAACTGTTTGATCTTTCATAATGATTCATATGAAGTAATAGCTGGGGCGTCATTTCTTGTATAGAGTCGAGCCTAATGGATGAACAGCTTTTTCTTCACTAATATTGCCGTTGCAACTGGAATAGTGTTAGCATTAGAAATCTTCAAAGCATTCAGTCATCATATTTAGTACGAGACATGGCCCTGACCAAGCTTCCATGTTTTGTAAGTCTGTGGACGCTTTTTATAGTTCTGCCTGAAAAGTGAGCAAATCCTGTTGTTCTTTGTATCTTCTTTACTACTTGAAATGTAGCTTGATTCTGAGGCTTTTCTGGAAAGATTGCAGTTTACATCCTATTTATCAAGCATGTGAGATAACCACTGCCTAATATTTTGTACTTAAGTTTTACAGCAGTATTTTCCTTGTCTTTTATGTATCTGCTCATTCTATATCAAACAGGAAACACTAAGCTGACATATTGTTGTTCCATATACGGTTGAGCTTAAAAAATGTGACTATTGAAACAAGTGCCTGCAATAAATGAAGTGTAGTTCTTTTAACCTTGCTGTTTTTCTCCTAAGTAAACAGTATAATTTCAATAATTTGCCGTGAGTTTAATATTAGCTTGCTAGAAGAGGCTATGTTACTTTGCAATTCTGCACACCAGTTTTAGCACTTTGGAGAAGGTACAGAACTTGTTAGTGGAAAATCATATTAAGCTCAAAATGCATAAGCTATAAAATAAAAGACAGTTGTCTGTTCTGGAATTTTGGCGGCCTGCCTTCTGGATTTGCTTGTTGGCAGCTTTGAAAACACTGGTGTAAATCAGTACCAAATGGATATCAAAATTCCATCTACCAGTAGTAATCGTTAAATTGACGTTCAAGCAGATTCCTATGCAAAGAGAAAAAATTTCATATTTGTAGGGAATCCATCATTTAGGAATTATATATATATGCACTTATATTCTAAAATGTTACTAAAACCACTAATTACTGGCATGCTTTTCCACATTTAGTCAACAGTTTATCTTCGGTTAAAGACAGGAATTGTCAGTAAAATAATTTCAGATAAAAATAGTTCTAATAAAAATGAATCCATTTTGCTAAGTCTATTATACTGCTGTTTCCTAATAGCATTTATATATCAAATCTCTGTGTTGTATGTATGTCACTTGTTTTAATTGACATGTACCTTCCTGCAGAATTACATTTAATTCTTCTTCCTCACTGCTAAAACAAACATATGCAAAACATGTCTTTGAGAGAGCTGGAAGTCAAAAATGTGCTGCCCTTAAGTTAGAAAACGTTACTAGAGTATCAGCGGGCACCACAGTGGCAATTGTGCCAGTGTGGCTTTGTGCTTTTGCAGCTCATGGTCAATTGACAATTTAGTCGACAGTCGTAGGCAGCAGCACCAGAGGCCATTCAGCTGAGACAGCCTCCTCTTTCAGGGCTCTTCATACGTGCTGACTACAGCTCTTCTTGAAAACTAGTCACCAGTCTGGAAGAACACGGGGGAATCTGATTTGCTGGTGTTCCCTAAAATCCTGTAAAAATGCTAATTGGAATAAGAGGCCATTGTCACTCTGTAATTGAATATACTGTAGTGGGAGGTTTATATTTAGAATTTGGCTTACTTTGCAAGTGAAATGGCTTTGCAGCTTCTCGCTCTTAGTAGCTGGCACAACAAAAACAACTCACTATGGCAAAACGTGGCTTAGCTCACTGTTGATAGTCTGGTTGGGATAACTAAGGTGTTGCAAAATCAAATTGAGTATACTTTTGGGTCTAGCGTAGCTGCCAGTTCTGCTAGCTGTTCACTATCACATATACAAAGCCTAATATATATTCAAAGCTATCTATGGATTTGGATGTTCAGCTTTCATTGAAATGAATTGCAGTCTGGCATCCAAATCCTCCTGATGGCCTTGAAAATTCCAGCGTAAATACACACAACATTTTTAAAACGTTGGAACAGACGTTGATGTCTAAGCAAAGGAAGGGGGCCTTGTAGAAAGGAAAACTGAGGGTATAAAACCTCCTGTTTTAGGCTCACACTTTACACTGCTGCTAGGGCTATTCCTCATAAAATCTCAAACACTTTTCTGCTGAAATATATGAAACATAATAGAAGAGCATCTGTAAGGAATACAGACAGGCATCAGAGTAAGCTGGAGTTGTGAAATGTTTTTATTTCTTGACACCTGTGAGGTACTTGAGCAATGTAGAAAATGCCAAGTCCTTTAGCTAATAATGGTTGCAGAAATCAAAGTTTCTGTCCCGTTACTGTATAAGCGTTTGTCTGACCCAAACAAATCCTGTACCTGGTGAAGCATAAGATGGCAAACCACATGCCTGAAAATGCAAATGTTATGGTAAAGGACTGAAATGACTCTCTGTGGTATTCAAAACTTCTGTTGAAAAACTCACCACAATTAGAAAACTCTAATTTCTTGAATATTAAATTCAAAGTGAAGGATTGCAGCACTGTATGTTTAAAGCTGACAGCCTTGCCTGTGTCACCTTAACCATGTGAAAAGAATCTTACACGTAACAGTCGTTTCAAGCCTAGACTATTTAACACAATCCCAGTCCGCTGCACTAGAACTGCATGGAAAATTGCATTTGAAAAATGTTGGCTATATTAGAAAATGGAAGTTGAGCTGTAGATTATGAGGGCTGGTCAGCTAACAGTAGTTGTTATACCAAGAGCTACCTTTGAGAAAGGGTGAGGTGAGATTACGTGCACTCACAATGAAAGTCTGAGTCATACCCTGCAGTTACTTATTTAGGTTCCCACTGCATTTGATTGAAAAGTTTCAAACGTGGAGTTCAGAAGAGTTTCTAAAAT